GTATTCTATTGTTGATATGGTCAGACGACTAATCAATAAAACTTGTTCACTTGTTTATTGAATGTTTTTCTTCCTTTCTGGTCTTGAATTATTATTTTTTAATTGTCATAAAGCATCCCGGTCCTTGGTTTGAATTTTCCTTTGATCTCCCAGATCTTGTGAAACAGATCTCTTGTTCTTTCCTTTTTGTGTACTAGTGATACAAGTATAAAAATGCATCCCTTCTCCTTCAACCATGCATATTTAGCATTGTTTGCTCCCAATATCTGCCAATTTCTTTCACTCTAAAGAAACAGATAACTTAAGTCAAATATATTGGTCAGAATCCCATATACTCCTAACATATGCATAAGCACTGTAATTATGGTGCTACACACTGAATCCCAGTACAACCCCCTCCAATCCCTGTTACTGAGCAGCAGCCACTGTGATCACCAAGAGTCTGTTCCCCTGTCACTCAGGAAATAGCTGGCTACCATTTCTATCTCTTCCTATGAGCGATTCCCATTGAGAAAAGCAGAATTAAGGTCCCTGTCTCAACTCCCCCATGTGCAGGAGATTCCTTACATGAAGGGATGTGTGAGAAAAGCAGCCATCTGCTTCTCAAATGACAGGGGAATGAATTCCCCTTGATCATAGCACATGGTCCCAGTAAATGGGGATTGAAAAACTTTCATGATCCTTACACAAAGGTGTAACAGTCACAAGTTACTCCAAGTTATGAATTTAAAACTGTAATGAAAGATTCGAGCCATTATAATTTTTAAGGAAAACCCAAGAGAAAATGACACCTTGTCAATATGCATTCAGCAGAGATATTGCACTGTAGTTGATCATGTAGCTACTGTCTCTAGTGGTACATACTCTCAAATGGATAAGAACTACCATAGCAACAACAGTTAATGGTAACAATTTTGTTGTTAACTGCCTTCACGTTGGTCTCGACCCATGGCAACCCTATGAATGAGACATCTCCAGGTCCCTCTGTCCTCTACTGCTCTGCCCAGCTCCTGAAATTTCTTATTTGTGGTTTCTCCATCCATCTAGCATGTGGCCTTCTTCTCTTTCTACTTCTTTCCATCTTTCCTAACATTATTGTCTTTTTCAACAATACATTCCTTTTCATGATGTGTCCAAAGTATGACAGTCTAAGTCTTGTCATTATAGCTTCTAAGGGTATCTCTGGCTTGATCTGTTCTAGGATCCATTTGTTTGTCCTTTTGACTGTCCTTCTCTGGCAACACATTATCTCAAATGTGTTGATTTTCCTCCAGTCTTCTTTCTTGACTGTTCAGCTCTCACATCCATACATGGTAATAGGGAATATGATGGCTTGTATGATTCTGACTTTTGTGCTGAGTTGTACACCTTTTCATTTTAGAATCTTTTCTAATTCTTTCATACTCACCCTCCCCATTCTTAATCTTCTCCTGATAACAATACATACCAGTAAAATAATAGCACAGGACAGCTGTATGTTCTATATAGGGTGGAAGTGGTTTTAAAACCCACCCACCTACCATCCTTAGGCATAAATCCAATTTCTAGCCACAGCTTGGGTAGATCCATTCAAACAAAAGCTAAATGGTAAACCAACACTTATATAGAGCCTAATGATCCAACTGGATTCAAAAGTCTGTGCAACTTGATGAAAGTGCAACTGAGTTATTTTGTGAATCATTCCTCATGTTCAGATCCTGATAGAGAGAGCAGGAAATACTATGATTAATCTGCTTGCATACCAGGTTAGTCACTGCTCTTGCACACTGGCCTCTGTTCTGACACATTCTCCCAACCATGCAGTCTGTTGGGTTTTGTTATGTGTGCTTCAGCTAATCCTGATTCCCCAAGAAAACACATCCCCATCACCTGTCATATGTATGGCATATTGTAATTATATACCTGTCCAGAACCAAACCCAATCTGGGAGCCTGTCAACATGTAGTCAGCCATTGTCATATCTCTAATGTGCACTCTCTAATGTTTTAGGGTGATACTATCCAGCGGATTATCTAAATGCCTTTGTCTTTTAGCACCTTCTTCCCTGATAGCCATGTCTATTTATGAGTGTATTGCATGATTCCATCAGTCTGGATATCAAAGTTAAAGTACAATGTTGTCAGGCAGTTTTTCCCAAGAGTTGCAGTCACCTATAAAGCACATATTGTAGCTTTGAAGCTTTCTGATGGGTATGGAAAAGTGGCAACTTCAAAATAAAAATGTATATTTGAATCTTAATATGCTACAACTCCTCAATGAATTCAGTTCCATTCTTAATAGAAATTCTCTGTGATAGATAGACACAAAACTTTGTGAAGCTTTATTCATATTATGTATATTATTCATTCTAATTTACTTTATTTCTCTTACTTAGATTGTGGGGTTTTGTAGGTTTTTTGTAATGATGGCAAGGTGGTTGTAGAACCAGTGTGATGTAGTAGTTTTAGTGTTGGTCTAGAACAGGGGTAGGCAACCTTTCCCCTTTAAGGGCCGAGGACTTCAGCTCCCAGAAGCCTCAGCCATGTTGGCCAATAGTCCCATGTTGGCCAATAGCTCCTGGGATTCTGGAAGCTGAAGTCCCTCGGCCCTTAAAGGGGAAAGGTTGCCTACTCCTGGTCTAGAACTCTGGGGAGCCAGTGTGGTGTAGTGGTTTGAATACTGGATTATGACTCTAGAGATCAGAGTTCAATTCCCAGTTTAGCCACAGAACCCACTGAGTGACCTTGGATGAGTCACACACTCTTATTCCCAGAAAGCCCCATTACAAGTTTGCTTTAGGATTGCCATAAGTCAGAAATGATGTGAAGGCACACAACAAAAACAAGAGCAGCTCTGGGAGATCAGAGTTCAAATCCCCACTTGGCCATGGAAATCCACTTTCTCACCTTAGACAAGTCATACTCTTTCAGCCCTACAGAGGGGCAATGGCAAATCCATCAAAACAACCCCCCCCCCAATTCTGTGACTTATGGCTTTAGGGTCACCATAAGTCAGAAATTACTTGAAAGTACACAATAACAAAATGTGGTGATAATGAAAACCTCTTATAAAATGAGAAGAACACAGTCATCTGACATACCGTATTTTCCAGCATATAAGA